CACACACACACACACACACTCTCTCCTGATGAGTCGGTGAAAGTCTGACGAAACAGTCTGGCATAGTCATGCTTTTTTTGAGTGTATAGCGAATATGGCAACACACAAGCCCGGGTAGCACATCTCCCAGCCTCCCAGGGCCAGGGGAACAGCTGCTACTGCCATCAACGACCAGAAGGGCATACCTGAGAGATGTAAGGTACCAGTAGGGGCATATGGAAAATTCTTGTGCCTGTACTGAACGGCTATCCGGTAGGGGCAAACTGGAAACTTGACGGGGGTACTGGTAGGGGCATATTGAAAATGTCTCAGGCCCAAACAACGCCAGGGCTTTTTTGGAAACTTGAATGACTGTCAGAGGGGCAAATGAAGGTAAGTCGGCCGTCCGAGACGTAAATCGCAAATAAACACAAACTTCAGGGGCATTTCGAAAATTATCCCTTTATTTATTTATTTATTTATTGGAAGAGAAGTTTTCAAAGACGGCCTTTACTTCCGTTTGGAGCGACAGGCCACATTGGAACCACGTTCGAAGCTGTGAACCTGGCGATCTTAACGGCAACTATTCATGCTTTCTTAGCACGAACATAGCACCAGCCTGGCCTCGCTCGAACACATACTGTGTGAGTAGAGCGGACGATACGTTCATTTAATAACAAGTGTTGTTGTATAGGTAGTGAAGGGTTATTATAGAAGTGTTGTAGTGTATGGTAGCGAAGGGTGAAATTGAGAGAAGAATAAGATAAGATAATACTAAAATAGCAGGTGTCTTGTACATTTTATTCCGGGGCTAGGTCCCACTTGCACGAATTAAGAGACAGAGACCGTAGATAGCCGAGATCGACGGCCGAAATCTCCTAATCCGTCGTGCAAGTGGGACCTTGCCCCCAGAAAGGACGGTCACACGATGCTGAGGGCTGCACATCCACCTCGAGAAAATTCGGATTATCGAAAAAGAAAGAAAAGATATCCTCCTGAACCTTCTATGCTTCGTCACCACCGAGAAGGCCGGCACTCCAGCCAGTAGGAGACTTCCTTTTGCGATTGGTTCTTTTTCGGTCTGGTCTGGCCTTTCTAGACGCTTTGGGCCTCGCTCCACTGCTCTCCGCATCCACTAAAGACAAATATATATATATATATATATATATATATATATATATACAAACAGAACTGCCCGGTAAACCGTAGGCAGAGAGAGAGAAGAGGACAACAAACGAGGGGCTGTGACAAACTGTATATATATATATATATATATATATATATATAGTCGGTGAAACTCCGACGAAACAGTTTGTCACAGCCCCTCGTTTGTTGTCCTCTTCTCCCTCTCTGCCTACGGTTTACCGGGCAGTTCTATTTGACGATATATATGGCGACGTATCTTTCCATTTTCTGGGCGAAGGTTCATGCTCATTTTGCACACTGGGTGAGTAGTGGAGGGAGCCCCTTCGTCTGCGTATCTCTTTTTTTTTTTCCCTTTTTTTTTCCCATGCTAATCTTCTCTGTATCTTTCCAATGTCCCAAAGGACTCTGTGTATCTCGTACTGAGCGCGCAGTTTAACTTCCGCTCAGATTTTCTATTGTCCACATGGCTTGACGGGCTGAGTTCGCAGCCAAAAGGCTGCGATTGTCTTTTTGTCGTTGTCGTCGGCCGCAATGAAGCTCTGGCGGGGTCTTTTCGGGCTTTCGAAATTCACGTGGAAGGGTCTGGTCGCCCGCAAGTCTAAGACCGGTAGGCTGGGTAGGTCGTGCGTGTCCGTTGCGGTCCGCGTCCACTGTTTCCCCTTTGGGAGGAAGGGCGGACCAGATAGCAGGGCGGGAGGGGATGCGAGGGGGGTGTCTGTTCTTTTTCTTTTTCACTTTTTTTTTTTTTTTTCCCTTTTTGTCCTTCGGCAGAAGGGCGTTCGCTTTTTTCCCTTTTTGTCCCTTGGGAATGCACCTGCTCCAGAAGGCAACCAAGGGCGTCGCCACACTGCACACGAAACGAAAAAACGAAACGAGTGCATCTTCCTGCAGAAAATGGCCAGGTTCGTGGGTTTGCTGTAAATAGTAATGAGTGTACTTTTCCACCTTTCATGGGCAGATGCACTCTTTTCGTTTTTGTTTCGTGTGCGCCCCAAATAAGTTGAACTGATGCCACGCCGAAAAAAAGAAAAAAAAAAAAAAATTGATACCACGCGGGAGGGTGGGCAATAGGCCTTCCACAGCCTCCCTGCGCTTTTGTTGTCGACGGGGGGTGAGGTCCCACTAGCAAAGAGGGTTGGATAAATATCCTAAATCTGGACGTGTTTTATGCAGAGATGCGGAAATGCAGTTCAATCTCGACATTCTGCACGTTTCCGAAAACAAAAGCCAGATTCAGGTGTTTGAATCCAATCCTCTTTGCTAGTGGGACCTCGTCCCCGCCAAAATTCCATGCTCCACGGCTGTTTTTTTATTCGCAGCCAGGAGGCTGCGCCTTGTGTGGTTTGCATTTCGCCGTTTCGTGTCCTCTCCATTTTGGGTAATGTCGTGCAGTCCAGCGTTGCTAGGATGGGTCCGTTTGGGGTTTCCGAAAGCAGAAAAAGGTTCCGGTCGCAGTCGTCCCTAAGACCGGTCATAGGGTATAGCGGACCCACCAGGTGTGGTGCTCCGCTAGTGACAGAGATGGAGATGGAGGAAGAAGG